TTACGCCTGAGGGATTTTTCCGCAACTGAAGCTCCGGGTCGTGATTAGACGAATGTCTTATGCAACAATGAACATGTAAGCTTAAACACAGCAGAACCTGAACAGTTACCTAAAAATTCACATTTCTTCTTTTCCTTCTCTTAATAGATAGATCAACGCGCAGCATTAACAATTTTCTTTTTCACTATACTGAAAGCCTCTATAATTTTCCTAGTCAGTGATCACATTGTTTTCGGCGTGTAATTCTGGTAACACTCACACAGCTACTCAACATCATGACACAAATTAAAACGGTCACATGGAAAAAAAATGAGCAACAAAAGAAAGTGTGTATTTACAATTAGAACTATTAAATAAATAACTGGCCACATCAAATTGCCCGACCAACTTTGCAAAATTTAACCAAATACCGGATTTTGTATACATTCTACATCGAACCCCAATATATATATATATATATATATATATATATATATATATATATATATATATATATGTATGTGTGTGTGTGTGTGTGTGTATACACATATATTGATGCATATTTCACTAAATATTATAGACAAGTTTCGTCTATTTATTTTATGTAAATTCTTTTCATATCGTCTGATAAGCTTAATAACATTATCATTAAACGAAGAAATAAAATCAGATTATTCATATATATTTTTTAATCCTATCTAATCTTTCGGCTTATATAAGCCATTATCAAAGATGCCAATTACATTACAATATATTAAACAATACACGGACAACACACACACACACACACACACACACACACACACACACACACACATATATATATATATATATATATTCTAAACTGTTAATTCAGTTTGAGGCATAGCTCATGTATGAAACAAGGTAACGTCTTTTGTATGAGATTTTTAAGACGAGAGTGTTTAATTGTTATATTGGACCAACTGCTTAGAAGACTTTTGCTAAAAGTTCTAAGCCTCACTTAGAAAGAAGAGTCGTGGCTGAACATTTTTATTGTGGCAAAATACTACCACGTCTTATAAAACAACAACAAAAAAAATCTCATTCAGATTTCTGCCGGTGCAGGTGAGACCCATACAAAGGTGAAATATTTGAGACAAAACAGAGGCCCCAACAGCCATAAAATATCTGCAAAGTCAAGGAAATCCATGAGGACAGAGTACAGTCACTTTCTGTGGACCCCACTTTCTATCCAACAGTGAAGAACTGGGTTGCTGGAACAGTGACAGCACAAAAATATATGTTGAAGACAGTTTAATTAGCAGTGTACACGAATAACAAATGTAACCTAGTCTGTATGACAACACAGTATCATCTTTCGTAAACTTTCTTTATACTTAAAAACTCAAAAGCGAATGATTTGCGAACATGTTTTCCTTGTGTTGGTGTGAGGAACCTGCCCCCAATGTTCACAAAAGTATTTTTGATGCACCCTCTCTCTCTCTCTCTCTTTATACACACACACACACACACACATATATATATATATATATATATATATATATATATATATATATATATATATATATATATCATTATAATTAAATTAAAATAATGTTCAGTCAGTCAGTTAAATAGAATACTTGATATACGCTTGAGCAATCATATCTTTTGTCGATTCATGAATGAGTAGGTAGAAAATTCCTGTGTATTAGATTGCCGTTACTTTCTGCAGTATATATATATATATATATATATATATATATATATATATATATATATATATATATGGGGGGGTGCGTATATATATATATATATATATATATATATATATATATATATATATATATATATATATATATATATATATATATATATATATATACATATATTGATGCATATTTCATTAAATAATATAGACAAGTTTTGTCTATTTTATGTAAATTCTTTTCATATCGTCTGATAAGCTTAATAACATTATCATTAAAAGAAGAAAGAAAATGTCAATATTGATACCAACGCTATAGGAATCAGACTGCACTTTTATTAAACCAATAACTGGAAAAGGAGAAAAAAGGGCCTTTTTAAAATTTAGTATTGGACTAAAACCTAAAAACCATAACCGGGTATTGAACTCACACTCTTTGTCTCTGTCACTGGATCTAACCAACGCCTTTATCCACTGTGCCATGTGTCCTTGAAGATTTGTCTATAAATTTCTGTGTATTATAAACCTAATGTTTTCAGCAACAATTTTTTACCAGTGCTCATATTGAAATTTTGCTGTTATCATTATGTTTTTACCAGAGCTCATATTGCAACTTTGTTATCATTGCGTTAATGCAGTGGAGAACTTTCAGAGGGAAAATTAGCAGGAGATAACTGATAACTGACATCCATCAAACATGGCACGTGGAACTAGAACAGTCTACCCCAGCGACCGAAATAAAGGGTTCAGTTCGAAATTCCAACCACCTGAAGAAGGCCTGAGCGTACAACGGCCGAAACGTTGTGACAAATATGGCGACAAAAATGAGGACAATAGTCCGACTAATGTAAATACTGTACTATCTAAGCTTTCAGCTTACATAAGCCATTATCAAAGATGACTATTACATTAACCAATACACGGTCAAAACAATAAGTCTGTTTATGTATACATGGAAGATTTCCAAACAACGAAAGGGTGTTCAATTTTTCTTTTGCTACTTCAATACAATAAATACACACAATATATATATAGGTGAGTGTATGTGTGTGCGTGTGTTTGTGTGTGTGTGTATAGTTATATAATAAGAAAGAACAGTAAATGATCCAAAGTTCTTTAGTGTTTTTATTTTTTTTTTTAAGTGCTCGATACAGGAGTAGAGCTTAAATTATAATTATTTTTTTTTTAAAATATGGTTCCATCGCGACACAGTTATTGCTAAGTTTCGAAACTTGACTCCAGTCTTAAAGTTTAATTTCAATGTTAAACTTAAAATTTAGAGTACAGTTTAATTCTAGATATCGCTTGAGAATGGAACTTTTAAGTTTAATATTGATAAATAAACTTTAGAACTTGAGTCAAGTTTCGAAACATGGCAATTTCTGTGTAGCGATGGAATCATTTTTTTTTTAAATAATTATAATATACATACATATATATATATATATATAATGATTAAATTATAATTCCAAATCAATAATGCTAAATTATATAAAAAGGTCATTACTTGAATAAAACCGAAATCCCTTGTTTGGCCCACTTAAAGCTATTTTATGATTATAAGCGACTGAATCGTAATTGCAAATCAAAAACTTACCTTTAAAAATCCGGTGTATAAGTAATGAATAATTTTCTTTAGAAAAATATTAATTTTTTGTAAATATTTCTTGCCAGAATATGTAGGTGCGTATTATACGACGGTGTGTGTTATCGGTTGGAAGACATATTAAAACTTTTTTAATAAATATATAAGTGACTGAATCGTTTGGTATACATATTAAATCAATAAATATATTCCCGTGTGTGTGTTTTCGAATGGAAAAATCAAAACTTGTGTGTATAATCGTTTGTTCGACATATTAACTTGCCCTAATAAATATTTCTGTATGTGTTATTTAGAAGACATATTAAAACTTTTTAATAAATATATTTGTGTGTTATCGAGAGGAATAAATATTAAAGGTTGCCCTAATAAATATATCCCTTATTGTGTGTGTGTTATCGTTTGGTAAACATATTGAAACTTACCCTAATAAATATATTCCCCGTGTGTGTTTTTGAATGCATATAAAAACTTTCCTTAATAAATATATCCCTTGTGTGCGTCATCGTTTTTAGACATTTTACAATAATAAATAAATACCCTGCCTTGTTATCAAGTAGAAGGCATATTAAAACTTACTTTAATAAATATTCCCCACTGTGTGTTTTCGAAAGGAAGAAATATTAAAAATTAGCCTAATAAAATATCCCTTGTGTGTGTTAACGTTTGTTAGACATATTATAACTTGCCCTAATAAATATATCCCTGTATGTGTTATTAAGTGGAAGACATATTAAAACTTGCTTTAATAAATACATCCCCTGTGTGTGTTATCGAGAGGAATAAATATTAAAGGTTGCCCTAATAAATATATCCCTTGTGTGTGTGTTATCGTTTGGTATACATATTAAATCTTGCCCTAATAAATATATTCCCCGTGTGTGCTTTCGAATGGAAGGCATATAAAAACTTTCCTTAATAAATATATCCCTTGTGTGCGTCATCGTTTGTTAGACATTTTACAACTTGCCCTAATAAATATATACCCTGCCTGTGTTATCAAGTAGAAGGCATATTAAAACTTACTTTAATAAATATGTCCCCACTGTGTGTTATCGAAAGGAAGAAATATTAAAAATTAGCCTAATAAATATATCCCTTGTGTGTTTTAACGTTTGGTAGACATATTATAACTTGCCCTAATAAATATATCCCTGTGTGTGTTATCGAGTGGAAGACACATTAAAATTTGATTTAATAAATATATTCACGGTTTGTGTAATTTTTTCGTAAATATTTCTTGCCAGAATATTTAGGTGCGTGCAATACGTCGCTGTGTTTTATGGAATGGAAGACATATTAAAACTTGCCCTAATAAATATATTCCCTGGTAAAAGTGTTACCTTACTTTGTGAGGCATGACTGAATAATTTTGGACCTTGAAATGTAATGGGTTTTTAAAGAGAGAAATAATACAATGTTAATTTCCAATGGATTAACAGACTAGTGGATTAGCGCCTATCAACGCGTTAATCCACTAGGCTGTTATTCCATGGCTCATAAATTGGTGCCATAGTAATTGTGAGTTCGATCCCTGGGCTGGGCAGTGTGTACTTAGTGGAAACAGGGCGAGCAATAATTGTGCGGTTTTAAAAATAAGAATTAGATGAGATATCCCCAGATATTTATTCGTTCACAGCAGACAGCGAACATCAACCTTTGATATCCATGTCAGCGTAAAGTTATTTTTTGTTCTGGGAACGCTCAAATATTTCCCGCCGTATAAATTATTGTCAACTTGTCCTCAAGGACACATGACCCAGTGGATACAAGCATTTGTTGAAGTAATCCCGTGACTTGACACAAACAGTTCAATACCTGGTCACACTAGAAGCGAACAAAAACTTGGAGATTTGTGTTAAAGGGAAATAACTGAAATTGAGAAATCTGGAGGAGTCATGGCCCGTGGAACTAGAACAATCTACCCCGGTGGACGAAATAAAACGTATTTATCCACTGGGTCACGTGTCCTTGAGGACACATGCCCCAGTGGATAAAGACGTTGGTTAGATCCAATGACTGGCCCCAAAGAGTTGTGAGTTCAATCCAGGCTACAGAAATGGTGAACCAAAACTTGAAGAGTTTAGTTAAAGGGAAATAACTGAGACATCCGGAATAGGCATGGCACGTGGAACTAGAGCAATCTACCCCGGTGGGCAAAATAAAGGGTTTGATTCGAATTCCAATCACCTGAAGAAGACCGGAGCCTACAACGGCCGAAGTGTTGTGAATATGGCAATGAAGATGAGAATAACAGTCCGATTAATATAAATAATGCAAGTAGTCATGATCCATCATCTCAGAGATGTAGACGAATAAAGGTTTCGGTTCGAAATTCCAATCACATGAAGAAGGCCAGAGCGTACAACGGCCGAAACGTTGTGAATATGGCAATGAAGATGAGGATAACAGTCTGAATAATGTAACTAATGCAAGTAGTCATGATACATCATTCCCAGAGATAGACGGATAAAAGTTTCGGTTCGAAATTCCAATCACCTGAGGAAGGCCGAAACGTACAACGGCCGAAACGTTGTGAATATGGCAAGGCAGATGGGGACAACAGACCGAACCGTGTTAATTATTATCAACTTCTTGTTCGCTTTACGCCAAATCGGCTTTAGAATTTTTATAGGATTGTTTGAAAAGCGGGGTAAAGCTGTTAATATCTGTCGAAATATATATATTCAGAAAGTGTTTTAATAGGTTTTGAATTTTAAATAAACGACTAAAGCTGGATCCTATCAATGTCTTTCGATTGTCAGAGAATGGAATTCAAAATATTTCGATCTATGGAAGCAATCATCCTTGAAATTGATTTGTTTTGCTGTTTCTTCAGATTGGAAAACGGATTTTATGTGTGGGCGGTTGTCCATTTCTTTTTCTTTTTCTTTTAACATTTGCTTAAAGGTATGTTTTGTAGGTGTTACCCCTTCCGTTCAGACTGCCAAAAGAATCGGTCCTTTTTAATGGCCAGCTGCGTTTCAAATTTGGGGGAATGTTTTACTGATCAGAAATCAGTAGAGCTTGAAATAGCGGAAATAGACGAACACAGAGAGAGAGAGAGAAAAAAAAAAAAAAAGCGGGAAAGGAAAGGAGAAAAAGGGGATTTGAGCGGGAAAAGTCATTTTTGAAATATTTTATGTATCAATAGAATTCAAACCAGTGATCCCCAAACTCTGAATTTGTGATTATTATTATTATTACAGTGTAACCCGGATATAAGAGACCAGGATATAAGAGAAACCCGGATATAAGAGAGATTTTCTCTGGTCCCAAATTAGAGCCTGTGTTAATGTAATAAAATAGACCAAACCCGGATATAAGAGAAACCTGGATATAAGAGACTTCTTCTCCGGTCCCGACAACTCTCTTATATCCGGGTTACACTGTATTATTATTATTATTATTATTATTATTATTATTATTATTATTCCTCCTCCTCTTCTTTGCGTCGTGTCCCGTCAAGATGTGGGCGATCATGACTCTCTTCAGCATTCCCATCCTTCTGTTAACAATATCTTTTAGCTATTCTTGCTGTCTTCTCTTATTCCATATGTTTACACAAGCTTGTTAGGTAAATTCCTCGCTGTTTTATTTTGGTTTCATGCCTTCGGTATGTCTTGTGAATGTAATATTTTCATGGCCCATTTTCTCATTATGTACGAATTTTTCATTTTATGCGTGTGTCTTTTTTTCAATTTTTCCTTCAAACATCCTCTTTACTTACAATGTCTGTCTATGGTATACTCAGCATCCTTCTGTAGAACCGCATCTCTGTTGGCACGTGTCTCCTTCTAATCTGTGAATGAAGTATCCAGGAGTCACTGGAATATATATTTTCTGCTATTCTCAGCCACCTTAATTATAACTACATCTCTGTTACCTCAAATCTTCTCTTCATCCGTGAAGAAATTGTCCAGCAGTCACTAGCACACTGGAATATATATATATATTATATATCATTCTCAGCATCCTTCTGTAGAACTGTCTTATAGCACCCTCATGTGGTATTTACTCTGTCCCCCCACTAAGACGAGATGTCTATTTTTAGGTGGGGACTCGAGCGCGTACGCCCGGAACAGGAACAAAAATTCCCCTCAGTCCCGTTGGTTGCATTGGCCTCGGTGCGAGCACCGATTCCTCCCTCTGGCGCAATGGGAGGGCGAGGCCTCGGGCAGCTCACAGTATAATTTTTCTCAGTTGCCCCTCTGTCCTTTGACGGAGTCTCCGCTGAGTGCACTCTGCGCAAAGACAGAGACGCAACTGACGGATAATAAGCCATGCGCTAGAAATTCCGCCAAGGATGAATTTTGCACCCTCATGCTGGTAGGTCAACGGCGCCAATTCGATAAAATGTATTTAAAACTGGATTTAAATGTTATTTAAAAACTGGGTTAGAGCAAAACGCTGCCCGTCCTTCTGACGATGATCAAACTGTAGTGGCTGTTCTATTTCTGTCGTGTTCCCATATTAGGAACATACGGCCCAAAACTCGCTGAAAACAACGGGTCTTATTTCATTACCGAAGTTAAGCGGCGTAGAACAAAGTAAATACTTAGATGGGGACTGGTTGGGCACACCTTGTACTATAAGCAATCTCTTAAAATCCGACATATGTTTCAGCGTTAAATAACCCATAAAGGGTTGATAAACCGTAAAAAATATCACCCAAACATATATTACTGTGCTGAAAATCGGAGGCGGATTTCAACCTTCCGGAAGTTTGTAGACTGCGATGAGGTAAGCATGTTTCCGGTGATTGCATTTCTATAGCAACATCTCCCCTTTTCATGGAAGGGGGAGGAAATTGACAGGTAACGGAGGGTTTATATTCTTCGCCGTATATGCACACGCATTACACTAAAATGTGCAACCCCTGAGCATCGCAGTTGAGTGGAGTGACTATAAAAAAAAAAATACAAGATTCGAATGTCGCTCTTTGAAGTTTAAGTTTTTAGACGATTTTCTTATCTGTTTTTCAATTCTAAATGGGTTCTCGTTCTTGTGTTGGACGCCGGAAGGACGATTTCAGTTTAGTGCATGGGAGAATAAAAATTTACTTTCAAATTGTCAATACTCCCAATCATTCGTGCGCATGTTTAATCGAATCAATGTAAACATCCCTTTAGTTCGATAACGTTCTAAAGGACAAAAAAATATATATATATATATATATATATATATATATATATATATATATATATATATATATGAAGAAAAATATATATATATACAATTATGAATGTTAAAAAACGTTTATATAAACCATCTTCGGAAATTCATAAATATATATCAATACAACATGACAAAGACGATGTACATAAGAACAAGACTTATCCAAACAAATAACTGAAAAAGTTTTATATATCAGTTATTTTTTGGATAAAAAAATATTTTAAAACAGCATAATTGTATATAAGGATTTTTTTTTGTTTTCATACTTATCATACTGTCGGATCTATATCCATATATTTTTATATATATATATATATATATATATATATATATATATATATATAGCGTGTTCGAATAATGAATTAAGTTTCCAATGTGAATTATGTTTAAGAGTTTAATGATTTTTTTCTATTTCTTTCAGATTTAACAACTTAAATCTTTAGCAATTTCAACCATGGAAAGATTAACAATAAAACAACGTGTTAAAGTTATCAAAGCCTATTTCTAAAATGGACGTTCAAACAGAATTTGAATGAGAAGTTCCCAGGTCACATCATCTCTCGAAACAGCGAAGTCAATTGGCCACCAAGGTTGTGCGACTTGACGCCTTTAGATGTCTTCGTTTGGGGTCATCTAAAAAGTAAGGTCTATGCCAACAAGCGAACAACAATTAAACAGCTGAAGGATGAGATAATAAGGCATATTGGTGAGATCGACGAGCAACTATGCAGAGACGTCATCAAAAATTTTGACCATCGAGTGGACGTGTGCCGCCGAAGCCTTGACGGACATTTGGGCGATATTATTTCTCACACATAATTGCCATGACTTAAATAACAGGATCCAATAGAGAAATATATAAATTTTCACCAATAACACTGATTTATTTACTACTGACTTTGATCCGTCTTAATGAAACACCCTTTATATATAATCCATCTTAATGAAACACCCTTTATATATATCATAACAATAGAGACTATCTATTTGGTTTTAATTTATTTCATGAATAACCAAATACTCATCTCTTCAGAGCGATTTTTTTTTAAATAAATGAAATCAATTTGTCCAGACAAAAGCATAAGAGAGAGGAAAAAGAGAAAAGAAAAAATGTTTATATTAAACGAAGAAGAAAAAAAGAAAAATTTCAATATAAGGTTTTAAAAATTTTGAGGGTAAGTGAGAAAGAAAGAGAGAGGGGAAAGAAATGGGATAGGAGATTAAATTAGAGAGTGGTGAGAGGGAAGGAAAGAAAAGAAAGGAAATCGGTTGGGTTTCAATCCGTTCTTGAGGCATTCGGTTGTCTAGTGTCACTGAAGACCTGTCATACAGCGAAATATATATATATATATATATATATATATATATATATATATAATGATAGACAAAACTAGAAAGATCCTCGCTCGAATTAGAGTCGAGCGCGGCAAGTGAGATCTCGGAATGAACGCTTCTTTTCCAAATCGCGAAAATATATTACAACATCAGAATCAAAACCCGATGAAAAAAATAACATCTCCAAAGACAAAAGGTTTTGATAAAACTGAATGGACTTTTGATTACATCGTCGATTCAATAATAGATCCACGTGATTTTCTGTGTATAAATTTAAATATTTTGTCGTTTATTTTTTTTTTTTTTTTTTATTCTTTTTTTTAAATCGAAAGGGTGATTTCTATTTAATATATGAGAGAAACTTTATAATCGATTTCTTTATTTTAAACTCTCGGAGAGAGGTAAGTATTAATGGTTTTAATTTGATTGATTGTTTGAGTGATTTGTTTTATACAGCACATCGACCCTTTGAATGTTATTTAATACCAGAAAATATTTTTAGATTGTAATAATTTTTTGCATGGGGAAGATAATAACGGTTTGCAGTTACAAATTTTACTGATTAACCCATAGCTGGGGGAGCAGAAGTGGATTCATACCTTTCCCAACGTTATTCTGTGCGTACTTGAATATAAAGAACCCAGTGGGAATTGCAACTCGGATCTTCGATTAACAATTACGAGCCATTATCCATTACACCACCCGCACACCCAAGCTTACAGTACCTGGTATTCCCAAGCATTCACCCGTCTAAGTACCGACCTGGGTTGATGTTGCTTAACTTCGGTGATCGCATCGAAACTCGACTCTCCGATTAACAATTCCGAGCCTTTATCCATTACACCATCAGCACATTCAAGCTTACAGCACCTGGTATTCCCAAGCGGTCTCCCATCTAAGTACTGACCTGGATGGATGTTGCTTAACTTCGGTAATCGTATTGAAACTCCCCGATTGACAATTCCGAGCCTTTATTCACTACACCACCGTCACATCCAAGCTTACATTTTCTGGTATTTCTAAGGTGTCACCCATTTCGGTATTGTCCAGGTTCGTCGTTGCTTAACTTTCTGGTGAAAAGTTCACCCGAGATATCTTTACTCCAACCATTTATTCAATATTCAGAAAAATTCTGTCCACACCATAATTTAGACTATTTGGATTTGAAGATACTGCGTTTTATTATTAATTTTTAATACAACAGCAATATTAGAACCTAAACGATGATGGCCCTCCACGCGTCCTTTTCCTTTATTTTTTTGTGAACTGCCCTGCATTCTTGGGAAATAGAGTAGAATGATTTGTGTTACCTTTTCAGTGCTTTTGAAATTCAAAGTCTCTTTTCTCTTAGACCAATGATTCCAAATGTAGGGCGCGTGCCCCACCGGTGGGGGCATGGTAATATTTTGTTGGGGCATGAATAGGATGTGCACCCTTCGGATTATTATACCAACAGAATAATGGGGCAATTCGAGAATGAGTGAATTGTTTTCTAGTGAGTCCGAGTGAGTGCGTTATTGTTAATTCCTTTTTATGCATACGATGCATATACAGTATGCATGCATAAAAATATTTTGTTTGTATGTACGTCCATGTGTAATTGGCATACAGGGTA